TCTCCCAAGAGTCTCAGGAACAACCCTTCTTCTCATGGAACCTTTCTTTTTGGTCAAAGGGGGGAATTCCATAGGGTTTCAGGAACACTTTTGTGCATGTTCTTCCAGATTGTCAAATTAAAAAAAAAAATACATATATACACACACACATAGATAAGCAATCTATGTCTTTTCAAAAGTTGGACCTTATCAATTTATAAGCTCCTTTAAAAAGTCTTGGATAATTATTTTATAACTGTCTGCTATCTCCAGTACTTTGCAAGATGCTAGGAATACACAAATAAATCACAAGACTTGAAAAAGTGGTGTAAATGTGACCAATATATCCTTTGACAACTGCATGTGATCAATGAAACCATCTTAGTTTGGCTGCAGATTTTCACAGTAACATCCGAAAGGATGGGATTGTCCATCTATGTAACAATTTTTAAATTTGTAACCTACTATTAAATACACTTTCCCTGTCAAATATAGCACTGCATCAGCATCTTTTTATCTTAATAACTTTTGTTTTACTTTATTATTTTTTTATGTCTCCATAACTTTTTGTTAGAAAAACTCACCAGAGTTGAAGGACTAGTTCAATTCACATCCATATGCTTTCCATCTAGATTCAGTAATTGTTAATGTATTAGCATATTTGTGTCAGCATGTGACAATCTTCCATCTTGTGGAGATAGTACAGCCTGCTGGTTAAGAGTGTGGAGGCAGTCAGCCTGGGTCCCAAAGCCAGTTCCACTGTTTTCTAGTCGTATGAATTGGCCTTGGGCAAGATTTTTAACATCTCTAAATCTGTTTTCTCAACTATAAAATAGGGATGACATCTCAGAGATTTTAGAGGATTAAATAGGATAATGTTTGGCACATGATACATGCTCAGTAAATATTATTTGGGTACTTGTCTTATCTCCTCACTCAGCCTGGAAGAGAGGGACAATATCTTGACTAGTTTCACTTTAAATCCATGTGCATTAACTTCAAGTGGGCGCTTAGTGATGCCTGGTAATCCTACCACAGCTCACGAGTCATTCACTCTCTTACTTTCTTTCTTTTCTTTTTTTTTTTTAAAGATTGGCACCTGAGCTAACAACTGTTGCCAATCTTCTTTTTTTTTTTCTTTCTGCTTTTTCTCCCCCAATCCCCCCAGTATATAGTTGTATATTTTAGTTGTGGGTCCTTCTAGTTGTGGTACATGGGACACCGCCTCAACGTGACCTGACGAGTGGTGCCATGTCTGCACCCAGGATCCGAACCAGTGAAACCCTGGGCCGCCGAAGCGGAGCACGTGAACTTAACCGCTCGGCCACAGGGCCGGCCCCCTCTTACTTTCTTAGATGATGATTTCACTCATTCTCCTCTCTCCTCAACTCTCTAATACTTCCTGCCTCTTCTTCTCTCTTAGCTGACAACCACGTTTTTTGTTTCACTGAGAAGATAGAAGGAATCAGAAGAGAACTTCATACATTCCCATTACGTCTGCCACTTTGTTTGCATCTATACCCGTATTCTATGCCTTCATTCCTATATTGTGGATGAACAGTCCATATTTCTATTTAAGGCTAACCCCTCTGCTTGTACACTAGATCCGTTCCCTTTTGCCTACTCAAGACATCACTCTAGTAATTATGCCCTGTCTCTCCTGCATCAACAATTTTTCCTTCTCTACTAAATCATTCCCATCTTACCAAACACTCCTCCAGCTACTGTCTAATTTCTCTGCTGCTCTTTAAAGCAAAGCTCTTAGAAAGAGCTATCTTTACTCATATATCGATAAAAAAAATCCAACTTATGCTACTGTGAAAATTGTCTCAGGTCTGAATACTTCCTATCACCTCCATCACTACCAGCCTCATCCAAACCCCCAGGATCTGGCTTGTACCACTGCAGGACCCTCATGGTTGTTTTCCCTGGTTTCTCTCTTGCCTCCCTGTTCTCCACCCAGAAGTCAAAGTGATCCTTTAAAAACATGTCAGACCATGTTTCCCTCTGCCTCAAACCTTGTAATGCCTTTCTATCAACTCAGAAAAAAATCCAAAGTCTTTTTCCTGGTCCAAAGACATTCATATTCTGGCTACCTACCCAACTTCATTTCTTCGACTTTTTCTCTTACTCACTCAGCTTAGCCATGCTGATTTTCTTACTCTTTCTTGAACATATCAGGCATAAAACCTGCCTTGGGGACTTTCCACTTGATGTGTTATCTGCCTAGAAGGCTCTTCTCCCAGACATTCACATGGCTTGCTCTTATATGTCATTCAAACCTCTACTCAAATGTCACTCATCAGAGAGCCTTCCTAGACTACTCTGTTTTATTTTCTTTCTTGGCACTTGTCACAGACTGGCATTCCTGCTTAATGAGTTCAGGGACTTTATTTTGCTCACTGCTATATCACCTTGCCTAGAACAATATTTGGCATGAATTAGGCACTGATATGTTTGTTGAATGAATGAATATGTGTTTCTTCTATAGCCTGTTAGTGCATAGAACTGTGCTGAACACAACTAAGTGCTTGGAAAGCATTTATCAAAATAGGGTAGAACCAGCATAATCTCTGTAACATAAACTGGATTCTATCAGCTTCTTAAAGCAGAACCCTTATATCTGGCAGTCATTCAACAAAGGTTTGCATCTGTAAAATGAGGGATAATACTTTATACTCCATTGAGCAAATATTCCAAAGATGAGATGAGATGAGAATACATTTATGAAAGCACCCAGTTCCTGGATTTTGGCAAATATTAAGTACTCAAAATTGTGAAACGCATAAACAGACTCCAAGGGTACGCAGGAACCTAGAGGAGCGACTCTGTCTGAAGAGGAGTTGTACCTTGAGACTGAGGAATGTCCAGATGAAGCAGCTCTATTGATATGATTCTGAGGAGGGGGAATTACTATTGTGTTAAATCTAACTCTCCATCTGAGCAGAAAGGGTGGGAAAAAGCACACATATCAATTGATTAATCTCACTTCAAATTCACAACCTCAGCCTTGTGAAGGGCCTTAATGATTCCCAGCAATCCTATTACTGTTCCCTAGTCCATTCACTCTTCTGTTTTCCTAGATGACTGTTTTATACCTTCTTTCCCCCTCCTGCCTTCAATACCTCTTCCCTCCTCCTCTTAGACGATGGCCTTGTTACGTATTTTACTTCAAAAACAGAAGCAATTAAAGGAGACCTTGCAAATGTTCCCACCTGCCTGCATCTGGGCTCCTATGCTCTGCCTTCCCTCCAGTTGCTGTGGATGTTCTTTTCCTAGCTCCCATTCAAGGCCACCCCTCTACTTTTGCATCAGATCTTATGCTCTTTCTCCTTCTTCAGCAATGATCTTCTTTCTCTCCTACAGTTTTTCCTTCTCTACTGGATCATTTCCATAATATTCTGTAATTTCTGCCATCTTAAATAAAATCTTCTCGCGACCCCAGCTCTTGCTCAAGCCTCATGCCCCATCCCCATTTCTTTGGAACTCATTCTATATTTGCTGCCTCAATTCCTCTCCTCCTTTGCTCTCATCCACCCAGTACAATCAGACTTTTGCTCTCTCCCTCCCTCCACAGTAACTTTTCTTGTCAATGTCACCAGTGATCTTCATGTAGCAAAACCCGATGGGTCAATTCTCAGTCCTCATCTTGCTATCTTACTAGGCCTACCTGCAGAACTTGACACGATTAATCAGTCTCTTCTCCTTGAAATAGTTTCTTCTTGGCTGAAATAATCTCTTGGCTTTTCTCCTACCTGACTTCTTCTCAATTTTCCTTATTGATTTTTCCTCATTTCTACAACCTCTAATCACTGGAATGTCCCAGGATTTGACCTTTTTTTAAAGTCTGAACTCACTCCCTTGATGATCTCACCCAGTTTCATGGCTTTAAATGCCATCCATATGTTAATAACTCCCTAATTTATACCTCTAGGCCAGATCCTTCTCTTTAATTCATGTTGAATATCCATCAGCTTATGAAAGCATCTCCTCTTGGATAACTAATAGGCATCTCAAACTTGTCCAAAAACAAGCTCCTAGTGCTTTCTCTAAAATCTCCTCCTCCTGCTGTCTTCTCCATTTCCGGAAATGGCAACGCCATTTTTTTCTGGTTCCTTGGGCCAAATACTTTGGCGTTATCTTGACTCCTTTCTCACAATACCACTTATCCAATCAACCAATCACATTGGTCATACTTGAAAATATACCCAGAATTTAACCACTTCTCACTACCTCCAATGCCACCATGCTGATCCAAGCAACCGTTATCTCTTGCCTAGTTTTCTGCAGTAGCCTCCTAATAGGTTTTTCTGCTTCCTCCCTCATGCCCCTTTTGTGCAAATTAAAGGTCTCCAGTGGTTTCCCATCTCCCTTGTAGTAAAAGTCAAACTCCTTAAAAAGACTCCCAAGACCCTACATAATCTGTCCTCAACCCTGGTTATCTCTGATCTCATCTCCATCCATCTTTCCTCCTTCCTCCTTCCTCTCTCCACTCCAGCTACACCAGTCTCTTGCTGGTCTTCAAACAAGCTAGTCACACTTTCACTCCAGGGCCCTTAAAAGCTCTTGCCTGGACATCCACAACCCTTACTCCCTGATCTCCTTCAGCTTGTGGCTCAGATGCCACATTTTAGAGAGGCTTTTCCTGACTCTCCTGTGTAAAACTGCATTTCTCCATTCCCACCCCAGCACTCACTACCTCCCGTCCCTGTCTTTTCTCTATAGCACTTGTTACCACTTAACATAGTAATCATTTTGTTTATTCATTTGTCTATCTATAGACTTGAATGTAAACTCCACCAGAGCAGGAGTTTTGTCTGTTTTGTCCTCTGCACTGATAAATACTTGTTGAGTGAATTTTGATGACTTTTCTCCTGGTCTATGATCTCAAGACCCACTTCTTCAAAAGACTAAGGAATGTACTTGGTAACAGGAGGGCTTGAAAGTAATGATGGTGAGTTTAAGGGGATGGCAGCTTAATATTTCCATGAATATCTAATATTCTGAATTTTCTTTTGCAGCTTAATACCAAAACATCCCCAGCAACCAACCAGGCACCTGGCCCAGAGGAAAAGGGTGAGCGGGGTTGGGCGAGGCAGTTTATAGTGCAGATGAACATAGAGACATGAAGCCGAGTAGGGCTATACAGCTGGAAGCTCCTAAAGTCAGTTGTAATAGGAAGAGAAAGGTGGATAAGTGAAATGAACCACTAGGTTAGAACTTCTATATCTATAGTTTTCCTTCTGCTTTTTCCTGAGAAGTAAATCTATCAGTATTTACTCTTTGATTTTAGAAACTGGCTCTGGAGTGCTTGGAAACAGGCACAATGATAGAAGAAACTCATCAAGTAATCCCAGCCACTGTCTTAATCAGAATTTGAGGGAAAGCTGGAGAAAGTGAGTGTGCCCTGGGACTCTGAATTAGAGGATTTAGGAATAAGTGGTGATAGAAGACATTTGTCATCTTGGTTCAAGAATAGCAAAGCTCCTAAGTGGTGATAGCGAATTCTCAGCCTAGGTGCCCTGACTCAAACTTCTAGGAGAGTTCCAGGCATTCTTAGCCCTAGCAAAGATTGGGGGACCTCAGAGTCCAGCAGAAAGTAGGCTTTACCGCTATATTTAGGGCCTGGAGAAAGGGGCTGGGGCAATTCAGGTTTACTCATTAATGAATCTCTCAACTATCTGCAGGGAAAGCTGGCAATGCCAAGAAGGCTGAGGAGGAGGAGGAGATCGACATTGATCTGACGGCTCCAGAAACAGAGAAGGCTGCCCTTGCTATTCAGGGCAAGTTCCGGCGATTCCAGAAAAGGAAAAAGGATCCCAGCTCCTGAATAACCAGCCTTGCCCTTCACCCTGCTCCCTTCTCTCCCCTTCTTCACAGCTCTGACTCCCATGTAGCTTTGTCTCTTTATCCCTCTAGCCTCTTGCTGAGGCAAATTCAACCCTTATATATTATTTTCTCTGGCCCCCTCCACCATCACAGTAGTAGAGGCACAGGGAACATGGGGAAGATGAAAAATTCAATTTGCAGCCACTTGCCTAAGGGTGGACCAGTTTCTCCGTGGGATAAGTCTCTTGGATCTGTACCTATGCTGGCCCTATGAGGCTGAAGAGCAAAGACTGAGGTTGAGAGAGGGACCCCTGACAATGTAGGAGGGAGGAGGAAGTCTTTAGAGTAGGGTGCCCAAGGGTGGGGTATAGGCACTATTCTGCCGGTTACAACATTCACGCTTCAGGTAACGTTTTTTCCCCTTTAGCTCCTTCTGCACCACCACCTCCAACTTCCCTCCTATGAGCCAAGCCAGTGGGGACTGAAGCCTCCTTTTCCCCTGGGCAGACCTAAATCAAGCAGCTTCCACATTAGAGCATGCTGAGTAGATTAGTTCCAAGGAAGGGAGACTGGGACTGGTAGAGGCAAGGAAAAGTTTTCTCCATCATCTAGTCTAGGACAAGAAGGGGCAGAGGTAGAAGAGGTTCAAGGGGCCACAGGCAGGGAAATGGAACTAGAGTAGATTTGAGGAGGAAAGAGAAATAAAGGAGGGGGAGATCTCTGAAGATGTACTATATGAGGGATTCTTGGGCTTTGCTAACCTGCCTACCTCTGACCCCCCAAGTCTAGCCATCCCCGAGGCCACACAAATCAAGTGAATCCTGTAGTTCCCCCCTGCCCCACTGTGGAGTCAGGGCAGAAGTGGAATAGCCACTCTATGTGATTTTAGCATGTTTAATAATTATTAAAAAAAACCCAACAAACCCTCAAGTGGGATCATTTAACCTCTACTTCTGTTTTTCTGGGGAGGAATATGAATGCAAGCCTGAGCTGGCCTCAGGGAGGGTGGTAGAGCAAACTACACGGATGCTTTGGTGGCTCAGGAAACTGACGCTGCCTGAGCAATTTTCAGACTGAAGCCCACCCCTAGCTTCCTTCCCCCGACCTCGCCCTCACCCTCACTCACCACCCACATTGTCTTTATCTGCTGCTGTCACCACCCCCGGTGCACACCTGCAAGGGCGCTCCTCTCCTTCCCTTTCCCCTCCCAGCTGAGAACACACTTGATATATATCCCTCTGAAAACAAACTCAGTCTTCCTCGCTCCTTATCCCCAAATGACCTACCCTGGCTGTCCCTCCTGCTTTGTTTTCCCCCCACATACCCCCTCCCCTCCCACTGTTTATCACACTTAGGGGGAGGAGAAGGTGACTCTAGGTCAGTAGAGAGCACTCCTGTCACACCGAAGATTTTAAACCCTGAATTAAATAAAATGGTGGCTTTCAAGTGACACTCACATTACTGAGAAATGATCTGTGTACTTTGAAACCAGAAGCCAAATGCTTGAAGGTCAAGCAAGGAACGCTCTATCTCCCCCACTCTCCTCACTTCTTCGTGTTCACCCTTCCTTTCTTGATTCAATAATACAGAAATTAAAGCCATATAGCGGATATGAGTAGGAAGCAAGGGACAATATCCCTGGAAGGCAACCTCTATCCCAAAGTTTACCCATGCCTGGCAAGCCCATGGCTCGCAGATAATGAGGATCGAACAGTAATTCATGGGAAGGCCCTATGTTAAAGGAGGTACTTCTTCCTCCTATGCCAAAGAAGAGGAGTAACTACTACATTTGGAATCTGTTCTGAGTGCAGTATAGTAATGATGGTGGCTTTATTCCTGCCTGATGGGCAAACAAGAGGATAACCTCATTGGCATACCTGGTGTATGTCCCCCAGGAGTAAAACAGGAGTATCCCCTGTTCCCTCATTCCGTGGACACGAGATGGGGATTGACTACGCTGCATGTTGGCTGCCCCTGCAGACACTGAGGTAAAACAAGTGCTCCCTGTTCCAGGTGACGCGCTTTGGAGAGCTGGCTGGTGCTAGGGCAGTAGCGGAGTCCGTCCCCAGCCCTCTCCTGTAAGCTCTGCTGCTTGGAGGTAACTGCTGACTTGCGTTTTGCCACACTGATCTGGAGCATGGTGCCGAAATGGTTTTTTCCCTTCGCCATTTCTTGCTCCAAAAGTGTTACACTTGTCCTCATACATGTTTTAAGGAAAGAGCATGGTAGCCAAAACATGGATTTAGTGTTGGGAAAGATAGTTCTAATGGGAAAGGTTTAAGCATCTTTTGTGGAACAAACTGTAATTCTCCATAAAGGTTCTGAAAGCTGGTTTCTCTCTGCCAGGCTGCATACTCCTACCACAGGGAACTCGAATCGAACCTCTTCTCTCTGGCATACCTGTAAGTCCTCCTTGGGGCCCTGGGCTTGGGCCCGGAACCCTGTTTCTCTTCCCTGTCCCTCTAGTTCCTACTTTTGGAGACATAATCTCTGAGTACCGATCATGAAGGACTTATTCTTGAGTGCTTTATTTTGTGGAGCAAAAACTGCAAGTCTTTGGGGGCTTGGTGAATGTTCTTGTACTAAATGGCTTAGCAGAAGAGACAGGCATTAGAAACAGTCAAGGCAGAAAGCAAATGCAGTTATCATCTATATCACTGATATCTCTTTTGCTGCTGTTTCAACTGCGTACGGGTGGCAGAGCTGGGAGTATAGTTCTGACGAAAGTGGAAGAGGTCTGGAGATCTGAGCAGGGCACATTTTGGAATATGTTCCCAAAGCCCAAACTTGGAGTAAAGGTCTTGGGAGAAATTCAGGCGGCCAAAGGGACAAGGATCCTGCTTCTCTGAACAACCTACTTTCAGGGACTTGGTGTCATTGCTGGGTAGGATTCTTGACCTCTCCTTGATCTTGCCCCAATATAGATCCAACTTTTTCCACTTCCATCTCTTGCTCTTGCACTTAACCCCTGGCCTAATGTCCTTTTTGGGAGCTGCCCTTCCTGCCCACCTCTGCCTCTCTGCCCCTCTTGCCCTTGCTGAGTTTTCTTTATTTCTGGAGTTGTTTACAGTAGGAGTGGCTCCTGGCAGCTTTCTTGTCCCTTCTTTACTCAGTCCCCTGAGAACCAGTCCTTGCTGGAATCACTCTCCAGTGTGCTGCTGTCATCCTGTTCTTCACGATGTTCTGTCTAAATGTAGCCCCCCTCTGCTGTCTGTGCCTCTGAAAATGAGGGTTTGGGGGTCAGGAGGTTTGTCTTTTGTGTTAAGACAGAAATCACTAGTGCCTTCTTTTCTGGCTGTTTGGGTGGCAGCTCTGACTCCACATCCACAAAGGTAGAACCTCACAGACCATGGATGGTCAGAAAGTCAGCCTGCTCACAGGGCTGCAGAAAATGCTGCGTCATTCCTTCCTTGGCTGCTTCCATCCTCTGCCATTGGATTAGTGTGACACTGACAGCCTTCCTTCTTCCTCCCAGCATTCTCTTCTTCCCTTGGGATGATGATGATGATGATAGGCCTTTCTTACTTCCTCAATCACCTAGACCTTCAAGAATGGAGCAAAGGGATCTGCTAGACTGCCTGAGAGTATTCTTATGTGCACTTAATTCTCTGCCGACTTAGGTTTCATCATAGTTAGGGTCCTCAGGGATGCTCACCCCCACGTTGGGTAACTCCCTAGCCTTACGCTACGTGCAGGGCTTGAATGGTGATGACAATAGTAATATTTAAGATTTGTAAAGTACTATGTGCCAGATACTGTTCTAAGCACTTTTACACATAACTCATTTAATTCTTAAAACCCTATGACATATGCTATATTATTCCCATGTTACACATGAAGAAACTGAGGCACAGAGAGATTAAATAACCTTCCCAAAGCAATATGAGTGCTTGAGCTAGGACCAGAACTCAGGCAGTCTGGCTCCAGAATCTGTGCCGCTTATACAACCTTGATAAGGGACTGGATGAGTGGAGGGCAGACAGCTTTGTTGTCAAGGATGTTGTCCAGCCTACTTTAGAGGGCAGAGCTTCCCTTAGCTGAGCTCAGGCATACCTACTTGGTCCCTGATAGCCCACGTGGGTAAGATCTGGACACACTCTGGTCCCCCATCCTTCCTGGGGTGGACCAGATCTGGCTTTACCTGATTGCTCTGCCAGACTTCTCCTGGAATTCTGTCAATGCCTGATCTCCTTGTCCAGCTGCCTCTCCTGTTGCTCCAGGGAACACGTGGCCAGGCTTTCTGGAATTTTGTGGTCTGAAGTGAAGCGGATAGAGAAATGGGGCTCAGAACTTGGGAAATAGGGCTGATATGCAGGCCTAGAAAGGAGGAAGTGTCAACAGGCTCACTGGATTATAAAGGTGGAATAGATGTGGGCATCAAGAAATGAGACCAAACTCTTCTCTAACTCTTGAGAAGGCTCCAGGTTTCATTTATTCGCCTGTCAGTTCCCAACAGGGGGATGTACTCTCTTCTAGGGGATGTTTGGAAACCCATGGGGGTATTTTTTGCTTGTCATATGTTGGGAGGTGGGGTGGGAATGGGGGAGGGTTTTCTGGTACTTAGAGTCCATGGGCCAAAGATGCTAGACATGCTGCAATGACCAGGACAGTGTTGCACAAATTAAATTGTCCCACATCTCACATGTCTTTTAAAAGTCCCATTGGATATTACTGTAGGTGAAAACCCTATTATTATCTGAGGGAGCCTAGAACTCAACTTCATTTTACATATAAACACAAAGTATTATTTGCACCCTTTTAAGCATTTAATTTCTCAGAAATGCAACCAACATGTAGATTGAAGAAACTTACAATTTGTTTTGTCCAAAACTTCATCAAAGTTGCTTACCATTTCAGAAATCCATATCATCAGTGACAACACTACTTATGGTGGTTGAGTCACTGATACCTTTGCCCCTATTAGTTTGCATTTGTTGCTGTTCCATTCACAGTGATTCTTCGTATAGGTCCAAGGCTCTGACTGCTACATTATATGCTTCCAGTGTAGTCACCTGAACATTACATATTAAAATACTTATAATTTTATTATAAATTAGTATTTTATTTCACCTTTATAACATAGTTAATTATATTTAATTTTTGAAATTATGTATATAGTTTATATTACATGTGAATATCATTTCAGGACAGTAAAAGGGGCACTGGGTCTGAAGAGGTTGGGAACTACAGCTCTAAGCTTTTGGGAAGCCATGCCTGATACTAGCCTGAAGATTCAGAAATCCACCTTTCTTCTGCCTCCACCCCTTTTCACTCTAAAAGAGTCCTCCAAACCTTAGGGCCAAGTTATAAGTCTTTTCTATGGGCTGGACTCTCAGAGAGGGACTGCAGGATAAACAGTGGAGGCTCAGCTGCGAGCCACACTTAAGCCTTTGCAGGACAAAATGATCGCGTCTATATTGTGATGGTGTCTGAATTGTGAAGCAGACAGTCACACACTGAGATCTGGACCGCTGGATGGTGAGATAGGCCCTCCTTCCTGAGTCTGTGTTGAGAGAATGGTTCTGCCACTTCCTTCAACTGAACAGAGAAAGAAAAGAGAGGAGGAGGATGACTAGAAACTGGACTATGCCAGGTACTTAGTAACATGGTTTACATATTCTCAATTTCTTCTTTTAAATGCACCATAAGATAGATGTAAACCTAACAAAACTCAAGTTTCTGCAGTCAGATGATTTGTCCCAGGTCACAGAGAGCTACAGAAGAAACTTAAACTAGGTCTGATTTGATCTTTGTTTTAGATCTTCCCCAAAACGGGTGAGTTCCTTCTATAGATCATTCCTAACTTTTGGTTTTTATAGAATAAGCAAAGAGATTTAAGCGAATCAGAGATTTTGTTGAATCTTTATTCTACCCTAAAGCAATATTAAACCACATTCATAAACACTAGAATCAACCTTCTGCTTGTGAGATTTCTCTCTCTCTCAAAACTCACACGCGCGCGTGTGTGTACACATCTGCTCAGTCCTCAACTCCCTGCTTTTGTGGGGGAAGCACACACATTTGGTTTCATCCACACTGGATGACTGCTTCCTAAGGAGGAGGTGTTCTGATCCCTTTTATTTGCTCAGTGTGAATAACCAAGAGCAAGGAGATCCGATAAAAACTCTATTGTCCCAGTGGAGCCTGGCTCAGTGGATAAGACACTCTCTGCTTTTTAGCAGTAATTTCTCACAAGAACTTTGCAAGCATTGCATATTCCACTTATTTTGATACATAAAAACCATCTTCTGGGAAGGAATATATAATATAGATTTTGGTATAACTTCTTTTTTCCCCAGCTTTATTGAGATATAATTGACACATAACACTGTGTAAGTTTAAAGTGTACAATGTGTTTATTTGATACATTTATAAATTGAAAAATGATTACTACCATAGTGTTAGCTACCACCTCCATCCCATCACATAGTTACCATTTCTTTTTTGTGGTGAGAACA